AACTAGAGTGACCATCAGGTTCTTGGTCACCAGTCTAGAAAAGGCCCTTCTCCATCAATTGCTCAGTTTGGCCAGGAGCCCAGCTATGGGAAGAGTCCTGGTTGTTTCAAACGTCTTCCATTAAGGGTAACAGAGACTACATGCTTCTATGAACCTTCAATGAAGCAGAATTTTTTCTGAACTCTTCTCCAGATGTGTGGCTTGACGCAAACCTGTTTCTGAGCTCTACATGCAGTTCTTTTGACCTCAGTGCTTGATTTTTGCTCTGATATGGATTATCAGCCATTAGATTTTTTTAAGACGTGTGTGCCTTTACAAATTATACCCATTCAATTGAATTGGCCACATGTTAACTTCACTCGAAGTGTAGTATCATCTACAAGCAATATGAATGCTCCTAAGCTAAATTTCAACTGTTCCAAATAAGGGTATGAATACTTATGCAATGGAATCATTTAAGTTTTTTACTTTTAATAAATTTGCAAAGATGTTAAAAACCTGTTTTTTGCTTTACCATTATGGTGTGTAGAGTGTACATTGATGTGGAAAAAAAGTAATTTAAAGAAGTTTAACATAAGGCAGCAACATAACAAAATGTGAAAAATATGAAGGGGTATATGTATATATGTATATATATGTATATATAATTCTTTATACATTATTTATCTGTATCTAACTTTAAATCATAGTAATCCATGAGGATATGGCTTCAAATATTATATGCCTATATCACTGTGAAAGTCTTACTAAGACATTAATACATTTTTAATACTCTGGTGCTACAGAGAAGGAAAAGCAGTATATATATATATGTATATATATGTATATATAATTCTTTATACATTATTTATCTGTATCTAACTTTAAATCATAGTAATCCATGAGGATATGGCTTCAAATATTATATGCCTATATCACTGTGAAAGTCTTACTAAGACATTAATACATTTTTAATACTCTGGTGCTACAGAGAAGGAAAAGCAGCAAACATATCTTGTGTCTCAGTGTATGCGAGAGTGTTCATTTTCCTCAGGGGAAAATATGAAACTTGCTTCATAATGCACCACAAACACTATGAAAGTTAGAAATGCTAGAAGATCCCGGTCTTTCTCTCTGAGCATTGAATAGAAAATAAAAGGTTATCTTGGTCTAGTGTGGTCTTGTTACTTCATTAGGTTTTTTGTAGGGACTGAGCAGCAAAACGGAGAGAAACACAGTCTTTACAGATGGTCTATTAAAGCTTAATATGTAAGATGATGGCAACAATCTTCTGTTTGAATGGTGCTTTGCTTGGATAATTCTAGCACTGCAAAGTAATTACATCAACAATACAAAACAGACACTAGATGAGCTCTGTTCTCACATTTTTATGCAAATATTAGGATAAAAAAATCTGGATTGGATACACTAAGATGTGAATAAAACCTCTAAAATGCACATTAAAAATGTATATGCTTGTTTGTGTTTTTATTTGGTAAAACATGCTATTTTGCCTTTGAATAATTGGTTATGATTATGTCATAGATTATGTATGTTTTCCCAGAATCTGTGGTTATGTTCTCTAGAACACATGGAATGGAAACGGTGCTTTATTCGCACATTGTTTTGGGGATAATCTTAATTTTTGCTTAAATTAAATTTGATTGGAAACATACTCTCATCAGAAGCTGAACATCTGAAAATTTTCACAAATTGTTTAGATACTGAAAAAAGCCGTTTTGACAGTAAATATAATGCAGAGGTTAATTACCCAGTTTCTCCTCAGAGTATCCAGCAGCTTCCTGAAGATTTTGTAGCTCCGCACTCTGGATCAGATAGCTTTTCAGTTGGGTTATTATCTGCCTGATTTCTTGGAGCATCTCTGTGCTGGAGGTGTGTTTCCGCATGGTGTCCAAAGTGAAAGCTCGATAATCTTTAACAAGGTTCCCAAAGTATGTGTTTCCATCCCGAGACAGTTCAACAATGCGCTTCTGCAACTTACGGTCTGCGTTCATGAAGCCTGTGAGGACATTCGAGAGGTTTGCCATAGACACCATTGACAGTCGTTGTTTGGCGCGGTCTAACATAATTGTTGGGGTCCTCTTGATGACAGTACCTGTTGCCGCATTGGTATCCACCTCCTCCTCTGTGCTGCTGGTTGAGTAAGAGTCATGGTCTGGTGGAGCTCCACCATCAGGAGAGTATAGAGAAACATCTGAGACTTTGGGATGACTGGCATCGATGCAAAGCGAGTGGCGGATGGGACTGGGGCTGCTTGAGTTTAAAGGAAAAGTGGAAGTGGACTCTTGAGGAATTGGCGTGAGTGAGTTTACAAAGCTTTGGGAGACTTGTCCGGTCAGATTCTGAGATAATCTTTTCTTCCTGGGAGGTGCCACTGGAGCATTAGGCCTCTTCGTTTGAGGTGCTACCTCTAGAGTCACCACTGGAACTCCATTTGTTACTTTAGACTCTTCCACTGGCACTTCCTGAAGTTGCTGAGTCTCTGGGTCCATAGGCTTGTCCCTTTCTTCCATTCTGTCATCTAGACAAATGAGGGATGCTACCGGGACTTGCAGAATATTGTCCTTTGCTTCTGTGGAGGTGCTGGTGTGGACTTCCTGCTGCGTTGGTTCCTCTGAAGCTTGCTTTTCAGAGAGTCTCCGTCGGATTGGTATTGGAGGAACTCGATGTGAAGATGTATTAAAAAGCTGTTTTCCTTCTTTGCCCTGAGCTAGTTGTAAGACAGCTGGCTTTTCACATTCAGTGCTTGGGGCAGGAGTTCCCTGTCTCTCTTGTTCTCTGTCTGCACGCTCACAGTCACTTCCTTCCCTTTTCTGGACTGAAGGGGGAGGAGAACTGAGAACTGCCTTGAACTCCCCTTTTGATGGCTTGGCTAATGCATAGTTTTGAGAACAATCAGGTGCACTGGGAGGACGAGGACGTAGGGGTGGCGGCCTTTTGTATTTGGGTGGAGCCTGGATTGGTGTGTTGAGACTCTGGGTCCTCAAAACAGGGGCAGAGGAGGTGGGCGGCAAGCTGTTGCTGCATTCCTCAATGAAAATTGGGTTAACATACCAAAGCCGGTCACTGCCGATTGAAATCTGGATTTCACAGGAGCTGCTTTGCCCCTGCCTATCTGGAGCACCACAACTACCAGCAACGCTTTCCACTTCCTCATGACTATTCAGAGCTGAGTTCCAGAACTCTGTGTTGGCATGAGAAATGTGTTCACGTTAGCACACTGCTAAATTAAGCTATGAAATATGTCAGCATTATTTCATCATTCAGATTGCCTGGAAATGTCTTCAGAATGTATCACTTAGCTTTAGTTACAGCATTTCCCTTGGTACCATTACCTTTGTTCAGCACTTCCTATTGATTATCATAGAAATGTTGTAATATTAAGATATAACACTAATATGGGAACTATTTTTTCCTCATTGAAAGACTTTTTACATGAAAAGATCTCAATAGTGGTTTGAAAAACCATCTCAAATGAGAATGAGTCATCTTAGTAACCTAATAGAAGCTTTTTTATTTTACATCTAGTAGGTTGTTTTGAGTAGGAGGTGATATATTGAGATCACATGAGTTCTTGGTATTAATTAGACTAATCATGGTTCATTGCTAATGGAACAATTTTACAATAGTATGAGCAGGCCCACACAAGAAGGTGAACACCGAGTTCAGCAGAGTCCACCAAAATTGGAACACATCCTACACATGCTCTGTCCCTTGCACATTCGTTTTAAATAGTTGCTGGGGTGGTATGGGACACTTGCACATAATGAAACGTTCAGTCAACTGCAGCATTTTCATGGTATTGTACCCGCTATCTGTTCTGCCCACCCCTCTCGCCTAGGGCAGCATGTAAGTCAGGGCTGCTACTGAATAAGAGATCTGTTTAACACATTTTACTATATTTACCACAGATTTATCCTGAAAACAGTTCAGAAAGTGTACGTCTACAGACATGAGTGCAACTTAACCCAAACTAAAATGAATCTATTGATCTGTCTTACCTGATCCTAGAGAAGAGATCACCTCCATGTCCTCATATTTAGCTACCTTTTGAATGACCTGAGGTAACTTCAGGGGAAAAGGAAGGATGTCGCTGAGTAAAAAAAATAAAATAAAATAAAAAGTGTGAGTGTATTGTGAAAAAATTAAATCAAGCAAAATACATATGCATGGAGGTTTGTGATTTGTTTTTTATCTTACCGGCTAACACAGTAGAATGCAATGAGTTTAAAAATGTTCTCAAACACCAGCACAGACCCTTCAAGGTATAGCACTGCAGCAAATGAAGAAACAGAAGTGTTAACGCTAGGCACTCATCTGGTCTCCGATGTTACCTTTCAGAAATAATACTTCAATTTATTGGTGGCACTAGTTTATGATGTTTGTTTGTGTGACTTATTTCCTGGTGACGCAGAAACACTAAAATAGAAACAACTCACTGGTGAATTTCTGTAAGGGTGGGAAGGGGGATAATGATGAATGGCAATGTGTAAATTAACATGTCAAACTGACCGCCATTCACTTAGAGATTTTATTTCTGACAAAAAAGCTTAAACAACTTTTCAGCTTTGTAACATCTGGACAAAAAAGACAAGACTGCTTTGTAAAGATTGTTAAAATCACCACATGTATGCACTCACGCGCATAGGCACTCATCTGGTCTCCGATGTTACCTTTCAGAAATAATACTTCAATTTATTGGTGGCACTAGTTTATGATGTTTGTTTGTGTGACTTATTTCCTGGTGACGCAGAAACACTAAAATAGAAACAACTCACTGGTGAATTTCTGTAAGGGTGGGAAGGGGGATAATGATGAATGGCAATGTGTAAATTAACATGTCAAACTGACCGCCATTCACTTAGAGAGTTTATTTCTGACAAAAAAGCTTAAACAACTTTTCAGCTTTGTAACAGCTGGACAAAAAAGACAAGACTGCTTTGTAAAGATTGTTAAAATTACCACATGTATGCACTCACGTGCACACACACACTCGGAGACACCAGGAAATGAAGCTATAGAGGCCAGTGCAGGACATCCTGTAACTGCAATGCAGGGCTAGGTACAGGAAACCTGTGGCCCACAGTCTCTACAACCCCCACCACCAAGCCCCTGCAATACCCTTTAAGGTCTGTTTATATCTCTGTACTCACTCTAAAAACATCTATGCGGATGTGATCAGGTATGTATGCAAATTAGTTTGTGCGTGGGCCTGTCTGTGTGGATGTGTTTAGGTCTGTATGCAAATGTGTTTGTGTGTGGGTTTGTCTCAGGCATAAAGGCATTCTATGCATACATTTTCCTAAATCAAGAACACTCATTTCTCAATGCAAAATAACTCACAGGTCTTTTCTTCCTTTATAGGCAGTTCTTTGACATGGGTCTCCCCCAGCTGGTCGGGAAGGCGTACTGCCAGTATCATCGTTTTTTGACTTGCATCCCTCCTAACTAAAAAGATCTGCAAAATCAAACAACTGACACAATCAGTTCAGCAGTACTACGGTGTAAATGGAATCATATCAGGGGGAGGAGGTGGGGATGGTTTGGAGTTAAGCTGAGGTGAGGAAGGTTGTACACGTGAGATTGAGGGTGAAGCAGGAAGCAGATGGTAGGCGGGGTCAGGGGATGGGTTGTCAGAGATATCAACCAATGGGAAGGTCGGTGTAGAAGTCAAGGAAGAAGGAGGACTTAGAGGAAGAGGAGAGGTTTGTGGATGGAATGATGCCTGAATGGGTGAATATATTGTTGGGGAAGAGGGTTTGGAGAGGCCTGAAGGTGCTGTGGAAGGGCCAGGGGAGAGCATAGTGCATAATGAGGACAAAGAGAACTTTCAGAAGAATCCGAAGAATGTTTTTTAGATCACCCTGCAGACATAAGAAAGATCATAGAAAGATTTCAGTATAAAAAAAATTGAATAGGTTTATTGGATTTGCTAACTGGTGGTTTTGGGACTACCGGTGGAGGTGGTCTGGGTTGAGGTGGAGATGAGGATCTAACTCCAGGAGGTGGAGGTGGTCTAGGCAGAGCAGTGGAGGAGCTCTTAGGAAGAGCAGAGGGGAGTTGTGCTGGGAGGGGTGGCTTTGGGACCTGAGGAGACATGGGTTTCTGGGGAGGAGGTGGGGATGGTTTGGAGTTAAGCTGAGGTGAGGAAGGTTGTACACGTGAGATTGAGGGTGAAGCAGGAAGCAGATGGTAGGCGGGGTCAGGGAATGGGTTGTCAGAGATATCAACCAATGGGAAGGTTGGTGTAGAAGTCAAGGAAGAAGGAGGACTTAGAGGAAGAGGAGAGGTTTGTGGATGGAATGATGCCTGAATGGGTGAATATATTGTTGGGGAAGAGGGTTTGGAGAGGCCTGAAGGCGCTGTGGAAGGGCCAGGGGAGAGCATAGTGCATAATGAGGACAAAGAGAACTTTCAGAAGAATCCGAAGAATGTTTTTTAGATCACCCTGCAGACATAAGAAAGATCATACAAAGATTTCAGTATAAAAAAATTGAATATGAACACATTGCAACTCAAGAATGACTTGTCAGATAACCACTGCAACAAGAAAAAACAGAAGTCTCTGCCTATGTCGATTTATTTTTCTCTTTCCCTTTAAAACATGAGGTCAATGCAGAATGTCATATGATCGTAATAAATGTGCCAATACGGCTAAGTTGTGCAACAGAGAATGTGTCAGCATGTTCATGTGAGGATGAAATAAGCCTTGTGTATCATAGCAGTGTTTTTGTTCTCTCTGTTCTTTCGGCTAAGCTGTTGCTCTCTTCCATTCTTCCTTTTTCCGGCTACCAGGATGTTTCCCTCTTCCAGTTCCTGCAAAAATCTCTCCTTTGCTGTATTGTTGTACTGTGATATCACATAACATATTCTTCATGGAAATGTATAGCTTGAGCTCATGCCTTACCATTTTAGACAGTGAGCCAAACCTATCAATATTTATTGTTTGCTTACTGCACATGAACTTGAGAACTCATAAATGAAGTCCGTATATTAACATTGCTGTATTTGTCAAAGACTAGTTTATTTAATTTGTCTTTTCATTAATGTCCAATCTCTGCAAACACAATAAAGTGATAATATCTATTAAATAAAACAGGTAGTAGACCTGACAAAGCGAGACAGAGATATAGAGACAAGCACGGTGCGATAGATAAGTATGTTTTTAAATTATATATTATATATATATATATATATATATTTACATATTTGATTGAACATTTTTAAAATAACATTGTATATAAAAATATTTTAAATAATATTTTAAATATTTACCTAAAGAGTTGTTGGTAAGCAAATGTTTTTGTGTTTTAAAAGCACTTCAAATATATAAACCCCGTTGCATATTTTAAGTGTATTTGAAAAGAAATAGATCTGGATCAGGGTCGTCCCTCCCACATATTCCGATTAGTGGCCTAGTAAAATGGATTTCTTTAATGAACGGTTATTAGGCTTTTACATTTGGACCCTTGATAATCATTCACTAATATTACATTTCTGCAATTTATATTGATTTATCTTTTTTAAAAGTATAAAAGTAAAGACTTCCAGCTTTCCAGATATTGCTGTTCATCCAGCCTTGTAGTGAAACTCTTCCAAAAAGTGAACATAATTTCACGATTTAACAAATACCTTTTCTGCTCAATGAGGGCAAATAGTCAAAATTGCTAAGACAGCTTCATTGTGTTTATATATTGAGAGGATGTTTGTGTATCTGCCTACTTACTCTCAGGATGCTCCGTGTTCTGAGTCCCAACAGCTGTTTTCATCATTCACTCCTCATGCTCAACATTCTTCCTTGGCGTCACAAATAATCCCTCATAAAATTCCCCACAACACCGCAAAAGTTGTCCTCCATATTCTTGCTTGACGCTTTGTGTTTTTCTCTTTGGTGCGTTTTCCGAATGATGTATTCTTTTTGGAGATGAGGGTGGGCGAAATCGTAAAACATGCAGAAAACCCAAAAAGGAGAAACAGAAAAGTTCACGTCTCTTTTTCTCCTTTTCTTTCTGTACTTCCTGTCAGCGATGTAGTCAGGAAGGGGTTGTCCAGGGTGGTCAACCAACCCCTTACCACCCCCTACACTCTCTCACGCACACACGGTTGAGCTAAATAAACCTTACACACTAACAGGTTACACTCTCTGCTTCTCATCGTCTCTGTCTTGCGTTCATAGTGAATGCAGCATAAACAATGTCTGCAGATGTGTTTACCCCAGAAACAGAGCTGTGAATAATGAACTTCCCCCCCTCCTCCCCCATAGAGTCTGAAAGTGTCTGAAGTTAAACAACTCCAGATGCTCAGGAACCCCAAAAAGAAGTTCCATAAGGTCTGCAGTCCAACATATGGTTAGTTTTACTGTTAGGAGCGAATGGCATGCCATCCACCCCACCCTTTTTGATGCTCCTAATCATTGGATCCATAATATTTGCAAAGAGCGCACATTGATGGAGAGCATTAACATTACACAGCCTGTTTGAGAGCCTTCAGAAGGAGGAACATATTTGTGATGCTGCCAAGTGTAATGCACTTTTAAAGGTTTCTGTTTGCATTTGCAGGCAAGTTTCAAGTCTCCAATTTCAAGAGCTTTCAAAACCGTGAAGAATGTGTATGTTAATGCACCAATATAATACTATGAAAAAATAAGTTCAGATCGTGTGCTATGAAAATAAAAATATTTTTGTAGAAGTCTGATGTTTTGCATGACAAATCAATTTGTTTATTGGTCTAGGCTTGTTTGTAAGTACTTCACAAGGGTAGTGCAAACCTGTGAGCTTGCAACAGATGCTTCCTGTCAGTGAGGTGTGACTTCCACAAGTGAGTGATCTCAAAGAAAAGTCGCAATCGTCGTCTTGACCCAAACGCCTCAAGTGTCAGGTTTGTAGATGAGATCTTCTCTATCTCTTACCGTAGTGAAGCATCTTTATATCATTGTGGTAACTGAGTGATTGTCACTTGATAACTGGGTTATAGAGTAGATGTGTTGCTTTAAAACCCTTAAGGAGTCGTGCAAACAAGAAAAATGTGTATTCTTGGGGTGGGAGGGAGTTGAAATGGAGGCACTGTTCTGGATTCAGCTCAAGTGATGACTACAGTGGAGTCTTGAAAAGGGAGGGGGGGATCTGACTCACTCCTCACATCCAGAAGACTCAGTCACTCTTTCCCACTTTCTTACAGCTGCTGCAGAAACATTGCATGAAACTTCCCAAATCACTGTAGCTCTGCATTCAGACAGGAAGAACACAGCTGTGTTTTCACACAGATACCAGAATTTCTAAATTCAGAAGTCCAGAAACTTACTTTACCCAGTACAGTAGGAATACATGCTAACATTAGAAATATAGAATTGTATCCTATGTACTATTTTATAAAACAGTTAGTTGGTTCACTTGAGTGGCATTCTGATATCAGTCCAAAGGGTTTTTGTTTGTGCCTTTTAAGACAGACTGTCGGTCTGTGCATTGGTGGTAGAGATTTATTTAGTGACTCTTTCTGTAAATTGTGGTAATACATGGCGATAAGTGACTGTTTTGATGAGTGAGTCTTTGAATAATTTATTAAGTCGATTTGTTCAAAAACGCTGACAGGTTTAGTTATAAGTACCACCAGAGATTTTTGTATCGCCCCTGTCCCAAATGGTAAACTTGCAGTCTTTTGGACATTACTTTGACGTAGTCATGATAACAAATTACTCTTAATTGTAATGTAAAAACATGCATCTCCTGTAAAGCTGCTTGGAAATAATGTGTATTGTAAAAAGTGCTCTACAAATAAATGTGAACTGAATTGAAGCGGCATTATGTCGTGAAAGTATGAACTCCGTGGAAGACCACAATGGCTCTACTATTGGGAAAGCGTAATGGTCAACGTGAATTTGAATACAAATGCTTAAACTCTTAAACATTTAAGGGGGTTGAAATAATACAAGCTTTAAAAAATGAAAAGCATATACAATATATTAAATCAGATGTTCTCAACCTTTTTTGACTTCAAGGCACCTACATTATTTAAGATGATATTCAAAGGCCTCCCAAGATATTTGTGGTACTTCTGCTGCAATGACAAAGCACCTCACAATTTTATTTTTTTTTGTTAAACTAGAAGTAATATATTGAAATAATTAAATGCTAATATATATAAATATATACAGTATATATAAATGCTGATGTTATATGTATGTATGTATGTGTATATATATATGTATAAATAAATAAATAAATATAAATAAATAAATAAAATAAAAATATATATATAAAAAAAAAAAAAATCAGTTTTGTGAATTTAGTATTTTGTCATGTCATTACATTGTTTAGAGCATAAGAAAAATTTAGAAAAATAACATTTTTGAAAAATTATGTTAGAAGACATCGGGACTTTAAAAAGTCCTGTTTTAAAAAAAATAAAAATACATGAATAAACATGAAAAGGCAAAAACAGTGGGATTTTTGTTTTAATCACAAATCAATTTTCATTTTTTATACCAAACTTTTTATAAAGACGATTCTCAACTATGTTATGAAAGATTTTTTTTAAAACCATTTTTCTTTATGCAAAATGTGTGTAAAATGGCCATGAACAAGTTTTTCCATTATATACAATGTATCTATAAACTGTATCTAATTTGCATATTAATGTGATTTTGGGGCAACATAGAATGTACAAATAAGAGCAATAATGGGAGTAATAATGAGCAAGATTTTCATAATAATATCTAATATTTAATAGGAATATTGATACATCATTTTTTCTCTACTCATTTGTTGTGTCTCCCAAAATGTGTAATA